ATTCGCTCGTAAGGAGCGAAGTAGTCAATTTGATGGAGACGTGAGGCTTCGTTTCCTGGTTTTTTTTCCGATACCTTGTAGAACTTCGGAATAACAGCGACATCAGTAAGGCAAAACCTTCGATTGAAGATGATGTGGTCTATTTCATTATGGAACTGTCCACTAGGTGACTCCCATGTCCATCGCAAGTGAGAGGGCTACTATAATTGCGAGTTACCATGGATGGCGTGGGTCAACATGATAAGTCTCCATGTGGAGTTTTTCAGTTGTTCTTCTGCGGACACTCTTGGCGTTGAAGTCACCGACGATGACCTAAAGGAAGTATGGTCTTCGTTTTAAAGCCTATCCCAGGTCGATATAGAACGCTTCCAGCTCTCCTTCGGCGTAGCTGGATATTGGTGCGTAAACACAAAGGAATTTCCACCATGAGAGCAACGAAAATGAAAAATCACAACAGGCCGTTTCTTCACAAATAGACCAAACGAAAATCAAAGAAAAACATAACTTTGGAAATGTTTTAAATCACCTGAATGATTGCATAAGAAGCCAGTAGCCGAGTAAGCCAGAAGGGTCTCCCAAATCGAGGGGCATGGAATTAAAAGTGGACAAGTGATGATCAGCGAGTAACAGGATCACGAATATGCACGCGAAAGTTGAGATCATTAGCTACTATGTATATGGTGATAATTTATACATATATATATTACTGAATAGCAGAACACATAAACGCTCTTGGCTGTATTAGAGTCGTGGTATCAAATGAAACGATCATCGTTTAAGGTTGCTCTTGAAAAGGTATCGCAAACTTGTTAGCTATAGATCTTTAGAAAATGCCCAAGTGCCCACATAAGCAACTTTGATGTTGGTGAGCAGAACCCTAATTTGAAGTGCTTGCTCATGACTTGCGGTTATTCGCTCGTATCGCCAAATTTCATGCATGGAAGAATCTTGCATCGGGATCTCGCTAGTATCAAAACTTTAGAAACTTATGGCAATACAGAATGTTTCTGCAAAAGGCCTGGATCAATACAAGCAGCTTCTCGCTTAACAATAAGTGGCCATCAGAGAAGGTACATAACTGTGAAAGAGTCGGGCCCTTTCCATTCTCCTCGAGCCTAATGGGGCAAAAAGTTGCAACGCGTGCACTCCTTTCAGTAATCTCACAGTGAAACTGGTGTGGGTTGATAGGTAGTATGTATAGTAATATACTGTGGTTTGGGCCGAACTGAATCACCTCGGGCATCAAAAAGGCCGCCGTGTGCGCTAAAATCACAGGCAAAAGTTATCCCATCCCAAGGAAAAAGCCCAGCGAAATGTAAAAACTGTATCCTCCGCAAAACTCGATTCGTGATCTCATGCATCCAAGCGTCAGGTTTAAAACTTCTCCAAGTCATGACTATAAGTCCCATTACGTCCGTGTCTCAAGTGGTTTGTTTATAGTGAGCACTCACTTGAAACCACTTTCACATCTATGTTCAGAGAATCGTTTGGCAAATTTGGAACACGGATTTGAAATCAGCACCCGGAAGTTCGTCTAGCTATATAGGTGC